CTTTGGAAGGAAAGGGATCAACCTTTCAAAGTGAAACTTATATTAATCGAGCTAAGTTACTTGGCAAGCTATCAATTCTTAAACTGATAAAAAATCAATTAAGCAGAGTACCGATCTCTGTTATAATTTTGTGATCTTGCTATTTATATAAGAATTTATCATTGAAAAAAATTGTATTGCAAAGTTCAAGCAAATTTTGAATTCAATCATTAGTTCGATTATTAGGAATGAAATATTTATAATTACGACGTTCATGTAAATTTCATTTCTAAATAATATAACTTGTACATCTAACGTGTCTATATTTCGACAATTAAAAATATTAATAGCAATAACAATAATGTAAATGATAAAAATATAAATTATTTTCACTACTTCTTAGAGAGATCAAAAGAATTTGAAATCACCGCTTCTAACGTCTGAAGTAGCGATCGTACGCGTATCATCTCCGCTAATCGTAAAAGTGGCCGATCATCCAAAACGCGATATTTGATTGGAATAAATCGCGTTTGTTGACGCGAGGGAAAGAAACGGAATTTGCATAATGCAGCCGGGGGGAACTTCGAGTCATCGATTGACTCCTCGTATCGATAAGAACGAGGTCACGAAACGCATTTGCCAGAAGCTCCGTGTGTTTCATCTGTATTTTCTCGCGGCTCGTTTGCCCCAGTATTCGTGTAGCATTCGCCGCGATTGTTCTCAAATAGCCATTGTTATTTTATCCATCTTCCTTCCTTTTTCTTCTGAAGTCACTCCGACGAAGTTGTCCCGACGTTTCACGTCCTCGTCGATAACACTCGAAGAACCATGAAACCAAGGTAAAAAACTTCACTGAAATATATCGAGTCGAGATTCATAATATTGCAGATAAAAAAAAAAAAAAAAGAAAAAAGAAGGATTTTGTCATTTTGTTGTTTTCTTACTATCGTTGCGAGATATCTTGGAAATTTCTCAACGTCCCTTTAAATTCACACAAACGCAGATTATACATGGACAAATACGATGATAACGAGTGGAAAGGAATGATAACGTATTTGTGCCGTTGCAAATACTGTCGTTACAATTGCACGCGTCGTCTGAACAGATCTGGACGAAAAATTTAATAACAGATTAGATTAGATTATACCGCGTATTGCTTTCCTGATGCCTTTATACACGTTTTTGGCCTGCACACAGAATGCATTTTTCTGTTTTCTCTTCACATTCGTGGCTCTCTTTTTTTTTTTTTTTTTTTTTTTTTTTCTTGACGCTGTAAAAATAATTCAATTGATATTGAAAGCAGTTTATATTACAAATGGCGTCGACACACGGCAGTTTCTTCATATCAGGAAATAACATCAGGATAAGAAGTGAAACTTTCCACCACTCGCAAGTATTAAAATTCCACAATTAAACGAGTCTCAAATTCAAATGCTTTTGTAGATTACTTCCTGAAAGATTGTTAGAAGGATATTATAAAGGATATTATAAAATTCCACTTCCAACAAATCTCAAGTTTAAATATCAATGATCTGTTTTTAAGAGATTTCCCATTAAAAATGATAACTTCAGAATAAAAAAAGGGAGATCCTCCGAAGCTCACAGATGTAGAATGTCAAAAGGCTTGCTAAATCTGAAGAGGAGAGAAAATTGGGGAAAAAAGGCAAAGAATTTTATATCCACTTCTAAATGAGTCTCAAATGTGAATCGACACGTTCACAAATCACCTTTCGAAAGACTTATATGTCAAATGTAGAAAAAGAAGATGTTCTTCGAAAAAGAAAAAAAAAAAGAGAAACCGAACAACTGGGTTCGAGTGTCGAGATATATTTTTCGCCTAGATTCATCGGCGTATCATCGGTGACGGATGAAGTAGCGGCAGAGAGGAGGAGGTAGGAGAAGTTGCGTATAGCAGGTGATAAACCGAAGGTGGACACTGTTAAGTCGTTGTTGAGTAACGGCCGTTGGTGAACCGATCCTCCGGCGTGTCTCGATCTTCCCGGTGAAAACGTGTCAATCGCGGCTCGAACTCGGTGTGGCAAATTCTTGTTTAACGTACGATCGTTTAAAACAACCAAAGCAACAGAATCAGAAGAAGTGACACTTTTAATTTGCTCTGGCATCTGGTGGCTCGTTGGTCTCTGTGGTCGGTGGTGATCAGTGGACCGATTGTAATAATCAATAATTTATCGATCGTAAACGAAACGACAGTTGTACGATCGTTCGAGGAATGCATCTTTAACGAAGGTTTCTTTGCGAGAAATTCATGATCAGAGAAAACAATGATTTAACGATCGGTGCATTGGTTAAAATTAAGAAAGTTGAATATGATCATAGTTCGGATATTCCGATTTCAGGAAAATATTTTTTCTTAGACAAGAATTCTTTTTTTTTCGGTACTTTTTTGCGGGACTTTTAACGATCGGTGTTGAGAAAGTTGAGAGTTTTGATCTTCGAGAGTTCCGAAGAGAAATTACGATAAAGAGACGAAATTTCTAAATTGTGGATCATGAATACGGGATCGAAGAAATTCCTAAAAACAGTGAGGTCGTGTTATCGTAGTATTTTAAAGCAGGAACGTTCGATTTTAAGAGTGGAACGTACCGGTAAAAGTCGATATGTAATACATAACCGTCCAATTACCAATTCATGGCTCGATAAGAAACGAAGAACGCAGAATGACGTGTTTTAAAAAATCGAGGCTACGAGACGCTTTCCAGTTCTTTAGTCACAGTCGTCGAGTATTTTTTCACGAAGAAAAGCTCGAAACTAAAAATAATCGTGAACGAAGGATTGTGGATCTCGGACGATCGAGACACGGTGTCACGAACAAAAATCTCTCTCTGCAGTTAAATTGTTTCGTGATTTTTCTCTTGCAGTTTGTCGAAACAACTTCGTTGTTACTTTTTTAATAATTGGCTTTCGATTATGCAACGAAGTTGAAAAGTCTCTCGGCATCGAGAGATAGAAGAACACAGAATGCACGAGTCGTTCGAGTATATCTTCTTCGTTTTTAATTAAACGTTACGATTCTTTGATAAAAGCTAATCTTATATCGATAAGAAAGCAATATAGGGTGTTCGAATGTCCAACAGACTCGTTGTTACTTTATTTTATTTGAATTGATTTAATATTTTTATCTGAATTAACAATTTTCTAAAAAAAGATATAAACGTTGGAAACAAATCTCTTATCGGAGAAAGATATTTTTAATCTCGCGATATCTTTTTTTTATTTGTTTTCTTTTTGGCAAAGATATTTTGGAATTTAATAAAATTAGAGGAATATTTTCATTATTTTTCTTTCTCTTCACGTGCTCTCCTTTGAATTTAGAAGAATGCATTTCACAATATTTCGCTTCGACTTTTTTTTTTTTTGAACTGTTACACTATTATTTTACTCTTCCTTTTCTATATTCTTTCTAACGCAGAAGAATAATTTTTTTAAAATTAACAAAACGCCTTTCAAGTACTTTTGAGTACTATTTTTTTAATAACAACTTTGACAAATTTGAATGGACTTTCTTAACAATTTTCTTAATCGTGTCCATGAGAATTTAAAAATGCAGTCTAATAATTATTCCTTTCCGAATATTTTCCCATTTCTATACTCCAGAACGGCAATGGCCGCGATTTGTAGCTCAACGTTTATAGAATGGTAACAAGACGCTGATTAATCGATGCAGTTTTCGAGCAGGTCACGTAGCCTTTTCCTCAATTTCATCGATCGGCTATTTCCTCTT